AATAACGTTGGGTTTTGTTATCAATTGTAACTTTTTAGACTTTCCAGTCTTAGGTAATACACCAGCACGATGACAGGTTATTACAGATTAGCCAGTTACCAATAAACCAAGAACGAAACCAATTAACACTTCAAGGAAGAATTTGTGAGCATTTTTCGCTCGCCGAAAGTCGAAACGTTGTGAGATAATTTTAAACAATCATACGACAAAAGAATTAAATTAAATCCAAGTTTTCATTTAACAAATGGCGTTTAAAATTTATAAATTACTTGAAGAAAAAGCTGGCAGCTTCAACAATACGAAATTTTTATCTCTGAACAACAATCCCGCGGAAAAAAGACCATTAAGACAATCCAACATTGGATTGATGATGAAAAAGAAATGTAAACCACTCAGATGAAGGCAATGAAAATAAAGAAATAGACAATAGTGATAATGTTATTAATAGTAGCAACAATAAAAAAAAACAATAAAATTTAAATTTTGCACCAGAGGAATCAAAGAATAATTTATTATTATACTCATCAATGGCTTTGGCCCGAGTATTTCCCTCCCATGCTGTAATAAAGATATTGAAACTGTGCTTACAAAAATCAAATTTGTCATGTAATTTGACTCTTTAGTTGTATTTGTGTCAAAGTAGTGAAATATGATCAATACTCAACAAATGCAGTTGAGCAGTTTTTATCAATAAGGAACAGGTCACTCAATTATAAGTGGAGGCGTTGGTGGGAAGCTATATGTTAAATTTATTTCCCTTACATTTATCATAAGTTGGGGGTTAAGGCTTTTATGGTTTATTATTTTTCATTCTTCTTGGTACATTTCATAAGTATTTTTTCTTGATCTAGATATTCCTGGAGAGTTTTGGATTGGAATTTATGTCAATTCCGAAGTGATATATGTCAGATCAGAATTTTATGTCGCTTCCAAACTGACATGTGTCAGATGAGAAAATAGAAAATTAGCAATAAATATGACAATGTCTTATTGAATAATATATTGTCGTATGTCAGTTGGAAGCGACATAAAATTCTGATCTGACATACAGCATAATTGCTTAATAGCAAACAATTATTTTGTGTCAAATCATGTTTCATATTTAAAATTCTCAGTTTACTACCAAGGTGGTGACGTTATAGTTACTGTCAATGTCTTTATGTGTGAGGAAAATACTAATACCATGGTAAATGCAACTAAAATCGTATGGTTTATTATAAAATCGCTGTATGAATAAAAAATTTTATTTATACAGTCGAATAATAATAGTCGATTTTGGCCGCATAGATCTATGACAATTCTAATGTACGAACAATACGCATGGTCGGGAGCGTTCTTGCTTATGCTAAGACTGTTGCGACCAATGGGAGAAAGAGCCCACGCTAACGTCACGTCTGTTGAACGTTGAAAGTTGAAATATACCCAAATAATAATCCGAAAAAGGAAGGGCTATCAATAGACTATGCGAAATTAAACAAGCAATATTTATGATAGTTTTTTAAATATGAGAATGGTCAATTAATCATTTTCCCCGTGCAAAGGATCTGCACGTGTCATTGTCCAAAATATCTATTATTTGATGTCTATGTCTGATAATGTTCCTCTCTATCTACAATTATAATTATCCGAAATATAACCTGCGAACGTGAATGCTAATATTAAATCCAAACAATGATAAGATGTACAATACTATAAATATTGCAATTGGATATAAGAACATTTCAGTGTGAAGAAGAAATGGAAGGGCTACAAACGAATTAATCCGTCCGCGTCATATTGTACGAATTGGAAAGAAGGGTCAGAGTAAATTATTAGTAAATACGGCGTCAGATAAGAGTATTAGCACCTTATAAATCAATACTACTAGCCATCACCTCCATTTATCCTATCCTGTGTACTTACCACTATATCCAAGAAATGTAATATAACAATAATATATGATTGCTATGATATACATAGTATTCCCAATAAATAAACAAACCCAAAGTTCTTTCGACAACACCGGCATTAAAAAGAATTGAAGTACATATAAGATTAGGAAGAGAGGAAAGAAAGAATTACAATGTACATCAAAAGCATATTGCCATTCAACTGTTTGTTCCACTGCATGTATAGTGTGTCTATGCGTTAAAAATCTATTGGCAAATACCCTGTTAAAATATGGAGAATAAAAATAATTGATATCATCGAGTATTTAGTTGTGAATCAACATCTGTGAAAACAAAAGACCCTCCTCCCCATACTTTAATAACACTGAGACCCGATCACCCTCACTTGTACGCACACTTACCAGCACAGGGTTGAAATGACCATCCCGACCACAACAAAGTCAATAAACACCATGAATGTCATCATCTTTAGAATTCCAACCAGTCCATGGCCCAATACCAGACCCCATGCAATTGCGGATACTAACGAAAACGGTCCAAAGTTTGATTAGAAATAGATACAGCCGAGAATAGAATAGCAAAAAAAAAAAGTCTCGAGTTAACATATTGAAAAACAATGCACGTACATCCAAGACAAAACGATAAAATCACTACAAAGGCTGGATCGTCTCTTGCCCATTGATTCTTCGTCTCTACGTTTTTATTTAAACCTCATTAGCAACAATGTCATAGCATACGTACGCAATCTACATTGTCCGAAATCCAAGTCAAATACTTACGTTTATGATAAACAATATTTCGATATCTGTTGTTTGATATGCGTTTAACAATGTTAATCATGGAGCCCAACATTTACTTTTACTCCCCGCACGTCCCTATACTTACACTCTTCGCGGTGCTATACATAAATAAAACATTTGCCAAAGGGCAAACTCAAAATCCTGCAAGTTCAGAATGCCTTTGTTTAGCTATCAATATTCTTCACAATTCCAACAATTCCCTTCACAACGCCCCAACGTTACCACCATTTGTGGGAATCTGAACAATCGCCGCAAGAATAATGGAACAGAAGCAGCCCAATATGCAGGCCGACCTCGTTTGGGAGATACATGTATACTACGCGGAGCCGTTGTAGGGAGTATTGGCATGTTGTACATGTACCGATCTTCCTGTAGTGAGAAAAGCAACTGAAAATATGCAAAGCGAGAGAATCCGTAAAAGTGGCTTGGAATAATGGACGGTTACACAATCACATATCAAATGCCTTTTTTTTTATTGTTGGGGGGGGGGGGGGACGATAATAATAAGCTAATACTAATACTAATGACTTTTAAATTTAATTTTTCGGTAAGCATAAAATTGGTGTTATATAAAGATCAGTTTTAGTCAATTGAGTAACAGAACCCGTTGACAGATTGACGACCAAGATGTGTCAGATTGTGATATGGAAATTGCGCAAGGTCAACAAACAAATACAATCGATGCAAAAGAAGAAAACATTGATTTTATTCCCGCACGAGAGTTTGTAGTAAATGACCATGTAAGTCGTCGACACCACGAAAAATGATTTATAATGCATAAATGAATATTCATTATGCTGTATGCGTTCCAATCGTTTGTTTACTCGATCTGTTTACGCCTCCCCCCTCTTTCTACGCATTCTCAACTTGTCCCTTACATCATACTTAGTCAGTGACTCTCCCGCCAACGTTCATTTGCAATCGTATTACTCTTTCACATTCCGTCTCCATCTTTAAACGACATCTCTCTGACATCAAGCTCCATCTTGCACAATCTAATGCAGACCACCTGTTGGATGTCTCTGCAGATAGTGATTTGGTCATTGGAGTGTATGAAGGTAGTCCCTCCCTTCTCCCCGATCATGGGTGACTCGTCCCACCCTGATTTGGTTTTAATGTACTATTTCGTGACATACAGGTGGATTAAAGACATGGGAATCTGCTGGTGATTTGCTGGAATATTTGGGATTGTTGTTCGAAAGAGGAGAGTTTAATGTCGAAATGGGTGGGAAATGTTTAGAGGTAATTATAAGGGAGAAGGCGTGGTATGTAACAATGAGATATGTGTTTGTATTATTCGTTGATATCGTTCAGTTTATCAAGTCAGAGTTACTACTAACAGTCTTTTTGCTTTATTGCAGTTGGGTTGTGGGTCCTCCCTCCCCGGTATTTATATGCTCGTTCGTTGCCCTTTGATTAGGGTTGATTTCCAAGATTACAACGAGCAAGTCATTGGACACGTGACTATTCCGAACATATTATTGAATACTGCTCTCGCTCCGAGTGATAACGATATCGACAAAGACAACATTGCCGAAGTTGATATAACAGACAGCATAAACTTGTTGGCAAAGGTGACTGAAAGAAGCAGATTCTTTAGTGGTGATTGGACCGGACTGACGGTAAAAGCTTTTTTATTATTTGGACAGCAATGAATTTGGTCAGCGAATCAATTCAGTGAACGTATGGTCTTTTTATTTGGGTCTAGGACGTTCTCGATATGAAATCAAATAGCGATAAATATGATATAATATTGACGTCAGAGACTATATATAATATCTCTTCAATGCCCAAGCTTTATAATGTCATTAAAGAATCTCTGAAAAGGCCGACTGGGATTGCGTATCCTTTCTCGCCGCAATTCACCTTGCGAACTGCATTCTCATTACTCTGAATCAATCATCATCCTTGACCACTACGCGTATATGCTAGTTACGTGGCAGCAAAAACAATGTATTTTGGAGTCGGAGGAGGAGTGTTGCCGTTCAAACAGTTGGTTGAGGCAGATGGTATATTCAACGTTAAAGTTGTCTTCAATGTGACGAACAATGTAAAAAGAGAGATCCTAGAGTTGAGGTACAAGTGACAATGAGCCATCTAATAGAGTGAGACGTTAGTCTCTCCATACACATCGTTTGCTATCATTTGATCATGGATATCGATCTGGAAGAAAACTTTAATACTCTGAGCTTTTTGATTGCTTTGTTTTTAACACAATTTCCGCATTCTTACTCTTCTGCAACATCGATTTACGGGGCGATTTTGAATATCACATTAATATAACAATAGCTTTCGTATTCACAACTCGCGATTAATCTATTCCATTGACTTCGTTTTCCTTTTCGTCTTTTGTTGCCTTACTCTGCCACAAACCATAACTCTTTCCTGGTGTAGTCTATAAGAAATAATAATAAATTAATGTTCATTAATTGGCCTGGCCTTGTAATAATTAGGAATAATCAAGTTTCATACCTGCCACAGCCTTATAGTTCCATCCTCTGGAATGATTATTAGTTAGTCAATTGAAAAAAAGAATTCCTCCGCATAAACGCTCCAGTTCCACGTATGCCTAATATCGTGACTGTCTTACCTGATCCAGTTGCATATATTTCTCCATCAGGACTGTAACTGACTGTATGAATGGGTCCATGATGTCCTTTATACACCTCTATTAAAACAAAAAAATTCTTGTCAGTAAAAGTCGCTGGTAATATATATTGCATATCATTAAGGATTTCTAGAGACTGACCGAGTTCCTTGCCACTTTCAAAGTCGTAAATTCTAACCCACAAATCATTACTACCACCAGCGACAAATCGCTTATGGTCACGATGTAATGACACAGATGACACATCGTATTGAGTATCGATAGATTTGTATAATTGGTAACTAGAACCAAAAGAAAAAGGAATCGCAAAAGTAAGTCGAAAGGAATACAGTCTAAAATATCAGCAAAGTATAGCAGTTATGTCTGGCGTACGTTGATGCGTCTATAAAGTAGACGGTCTTCCCTGCTGTGCATGTGATATATTTGCCATCGAGAGAAAGTTCCATGCTAGTGATTGGTTGTTCCGTCTTGTAGCTGTTGATCTGGTTAAAACCACGCACATCCCAGGCTCTAAGAAATGACGTGATATTCGTCATGTTACATTATCGTGATGTTGATTCTCGATTCGCAAATAAATCCAGAGTCTATATATTGCATCCTCGCTTACCGAATCTCTTTATCATCTCCTGCAGTTAACACGACATTCCGCTCTCCATCCCAAATAACACTCTTGATAGTAGCCTCGTGTGCCTCGACTTCAATGGCTGGCTCTTCCGGTTTATTTAAATCAAATACTCGCAATTTTTTCTCTTGTCCACCCGACACAATGCGTGTACTGTCTTCAGAAATATCAGCTGAACGCACAATGTGGCCATGGGTAAACGAATGCAAAACATCGCCTGTATAAGTATCCCATAGCTTACTTTCAAGTCAAAGAGAGATTAAACGAAAAAAAAAGAAGGAGATTATTCGGTGCACGGGTGGACTCTCCTCAAAAAAATCGTAATCAATGCATACGCGGTAAAGTCAGCTGAAGCAGTAACTGCTTTGGAAGCATCTTTGCTCAATTTAGCACTCCACACTGCTCCCTTATGGCCTATGAACGTCCCGATCCAGTCACCAGTAGGACCATCTCGTAACATCGGATTACAATCTAAATAACAGATAAAAGAGGAAAATTGTATCTCAGTCACTCGATGGGGGACGACCGGTAAATCTAAACATGGATCGTTCGCATAAAATAAAAACCTTTGCAAGCGCTTATCAAGTAATAAGTTCCATCTGTAGTTATGGGAGAAAACTGCAAATGTACAACAGGGCGGGTATGACCTGAGCATGTTAAAGGTATAACCCGTGATGGGTTTGTATTTGGTGGTTGTGGTGTTGACATATCGAACAATTCACTAAAATACACAGTGCAGATATATGGCAATTAAATATATAGTACAAAAGAAGGGTCGAAACGTGAGATGGGGATGGAAAGCGAAAAAGCGTTAAGCCCTTCGCTAATGGTTGGAAGGATTAGGATTACTTTCATTTAGGAATGTTACGATTATGACGTCATAATGTATTGTTACACGTATACAAAAATTAGTGTTTGACCATTGTCTTTTTTTTCCATGATCGGCAATCCAATTTAAATTGTTTATTAGCGTAATTAAACAAATAAGGGACCTTTACCTTTCCAGGATCACGCGAAAATTACAGATTACGGGTATTAGGTACTTTACATATGAACGTGCATTTCTTTGTCTGTTACTAGTTCCAGGTACATCTGTTGAACGTTTGCACGCTGCGTTTTGTGTACAATTTTTAAAAACTAACTCGGCATAATAAAAATTTGTTGTTTTAAATACGAAAAGAACTTTTTGTAAGACACGTATTACATTTAAGCTGCGCCGATCGAGAAAATTTATGGTTATTTGTTACCACGATTACGGTTATTCCATAAAAAAAGCAAGTCTAATGAATTCAACACTACTGTTATTCCATGGTACTTTACAAATTATTTGTATATCTGATGGAAAATATATCTGTATATTCGAGAATGCAAGTCTGCGGCAATTGGCACTAAGAAACACGAATTATGAAAACGTAGTATAGAAAAAGACGAATAATTCTCAATAGTTATGTCCGTTCTTGAAGATACAACTAGAAACTGATGCTTAGATAGTACAGGACAGTCGGCTGAGTCGGTAGCCTTATGACTAAGCCGTACAAGGCTTTATTCTCGCGAAGAAAACCAATAACAGTCCGGGATTAATTATATAAGTTAGTCTTGATCAAATACTAGAAGGCACAGCTTTATCTGAAATATCAAGGTCAGCAACCGATTGCTCTCCCGCAATGTTGACTTGCCAAGCTTATATCAATATATAAACTTTATTCTTTGTAGATTTATTTATAAATTCTTTTCAATTCGACCATGACTTCCAAGGATGATAGTAAATATATTGTAACTGTAAGCGTGTGAACGTTAAACAACAAAATTTTTTATTTGCAACATCAGCTGTTTTGTAAACATTCACCTTGAAATAGCAAAGTATAATCGTAAGACATTATTTGTTAATATGCATTATTACACATAACTCGAAAGCAATCATTGCATAATAGTGATTAAAAAAGTTCTCGTTATCTCTTTCTCACTTTCTAGATAATTGTTTTTAAGGCAACGTAATCTCAATAACTTTCACTCATACGTTTCAATTCAAACAATTTCTCGTCCAGATCTTTTGCATTATTTACCACGCAAAATTACACAAGAATGATCCGTTAACTCATTTCTAATGTCCCGTGTTTTACTCCTCTTGTTTGTATTTCCAGTAAACCATTAGTGGGTCGACTGCTTCTCTTCTTTCTTTGATCTGCAGCTCCTCTAATACTAATTACTTTGAAGATATTCGATTTGCTGAAGTTACCGATTCCCCCAGCAAACGATGTTATGTATAAAAACAACGCCTCATAAACAGAAGAAGCTTTGGTATGCAAATAGCTTATAGGTCCCACTAAGGGACCGGGGCTCCTTTATGCAAATATACATTATGCAAATAGACGAGTGAATAAAATCGGGCTAAATCCATTTGACGATAAACACGCTGGATTTTATTCGATGGAACTCGATCTCTTCCATATGGTCATTTGGCGAATAAAGGCCTACCAGCATTATGTCGATTCCGGAATGTCGCCAGAGAAAAAACTATGCCATAACACTTCGTGTTCACGATGATTCATGCAATTAGTTGTTACACAGATCTGATGCAACGTAAATTAAGCTCGTGACAACCATAAATTAATATCAAGACCCCGAAGCAAATTGATCATAATTTAAGCTCTGGCAAACACTGATACTCCAGAAATGCCCCGAATGTCTGCTTCAATCCCTCGTTGGGTAAAAAAAGTGAACGAAGTTTGGGATAACTTCCTCCACAAATATCCTGAATTTCCAGATTTTCCTTTAACAGAAGAAAAGTAAGCGACTTACACATTTCTTTAAGAGTTATTCATTGTTGACTTGTATGGTTTTCAGTTTACCCTTTCAGATCGGGAAGAAGATTTCGGTGAAAGAGTATAATACTTTCCTCGATCGCAACGAGGCATCTGGGTACAAATTTTATTTGAACGATAAAAAAGTATATGTAATTGAAATGGCAAATGCAGAACATGAAGCTGCTGTAGCGGTGCTTTATCAATGCTTTCTGAAGCCAAATAACGGTGTGATACTCGGTCCGATAACGGTTTTTCATCAACCACGTAAGAGAATTGCTTGTTTTGTTATTGTTTTTTGGCTTGCAACTCAAATTCTCTTCCAATAGTTCACTACAATCCAGTTGGCCGTGGGGACAAAATAGCGCCAGACATTGCAGTTCGACCAAGAAACGATCATGTTCAACCAGCAGTCTCATATCCTGGCTTTCCACGCAGTGATAAAACAGTACGTTGTAATATTTTATTATGACATTAATATTCTAAGGGATTTTCTAACAACACATATTACACAGGGAAATGCTCACTCTAGAATTATTTGTGAAGTGGGTTATGCTCAAAGCGTCAGTTTATGGAATACAAGATGCGAAACGTGGATGTACGAGGAATACGTTCGTTGTGTGTTTGGGATTAAAATTTATCCTAAAACAATTATAAAGACGACTGTCCATCAACCGATAATTGTATGTTCTTATGCTTAGTACTTGTTTATTACCCGACGTTTCGACTTGAGAATATTTTTTATTTTGTACTAGGCTAGATTGTGGGTGCGTCGAGCACTGCCAGATAGCGTATTATCCCCAAACGCAGCCTTAAGGGAAAATCGTGTATATGTCAAAGAGGTAAGATTGATCCGCTGTTGTATTTTTACAATCGGAACATCAGGGTTAACGTAAATTTGCAAAAAAATAGTGGGAATGCGGAACAATCTATCATAATACATCTACTCCTACTGGCTGTAATGCCCCGAATCTTGATGCGTTTAAAGTAACCATTCCTGTCTCGGATACTTTCTGGGACCCTCCCATTATTGACGAAGCTCCGAACGTCAATGGTTATGCTGTAGTGGTACCCGATACGGTTGTTGGTGACAACTTTGTTATTGATTTATATGACATACAACAAGCAGTTTTACTTGAACAGTAAAGTATGTTCACGGTTTAATATCACAGAAGTAAATCATTTGCATAATAGCAATTAACTAAGAATGCAAGTATTATGATATTATTATTACGTTTTACCCATATTACTATATGGAAGTCTTGTAAGACAAGATATTATAAAAGTGCGGTTTTCAAAGTTTGCTAATGACAATTGGATAAACAAAGTCCTGGTTATTTAATATAATTGTTGTAGGCCACATCCTTCATGAAATTGTGCGAAAAGTCAATTCATTTTATATAACATAGCTTTTGTTCAGCGCAAGTTCGGGAGGATGTGCCCACTTTACGATGGGGAGTTAGTAACACCATAATCGGCATATTATTCGGGATTTCACCCTATCATAGGTAAGTATATAGAGATATCATCCAATTCATCATCACTTGTTTGGGAAATAAAAAATGATACCAGACTATAAAAATACAACTCTTACCTCTTTGACAAATACACGATTTTCCTTAAGGCTGCGTTTGGGGATAATACGCTATCTGGCAGTGCTCAACACACCCACAATCTATCCTAGCACAAAGTAAAAAATATTCTCAAGTCGAAACGTCGGGTAATAAACAAGTACTAAGCATAAGAACATACAATTATCGGTTGATGGACAGTCGTCTTTATGATTGTTTTAGGATAAATTTTAATCCCAAACACACAACGAGCATGTATCGCGTTTTAGTTTATTATTATATCATGAAAATCACGCCAATACCGTTGATATAATAGGTAAACAGGGTTACGATAATACCGTTTGTTATACATTGGACAAAATGCTGCATGGTACGATACGCAGCCTAAATTACTAAACAGGAAAGTTGCTTATTTAGCGACATGTGCTGCACTGACAAGTTGTCCTGCTGGTGGAACAATAAAAAGTGCAAAAGTAGACGGTATATGATATATGAAAACTACGCCATTATAACGAAATTAGGTTTAGAGCAATAAAAGATGTCTAATAAATATCGAACAGGCTTTAAATATAATAAGGCCTAATATTTCCTCATCAAAGTTTTGGATAATGTTTCGTTGTTCTATTTACGGAAATTTTAATGTCGCGTTATTAGAAATTTCATTTTCTAACATACTAGTGGTTCCAATTAATATACATGGGTTCATTAGTGTCAAACAGCGAAAATAGTATGACAGAGACATTACTAAAAATCGATAATTTCTTTACGGAAACTCATCGAACTATGAATTACTTGACTTGCCATTGAACTGAAGCCGAAAGCGCATGCACATTACACTAACGAAGTTGCTACTATAATTTCAGCAAAATTTAGGATCCAATTTGTTGTTAACATGAAATTATCGTCAGCAAGAACTTTGAAAATTCTGATAGCCAACATCAAAGAGTTAAGAAATCCGTTAATAATCGCCCTTAGCGTTCTTTAGATGAAAAGACCCGCACGGTTAACTGATCTAATTGTTTTGAGAATGAAATTTACAACCTGTAAACATGTCGCATTGTAAATTTTAGTAAAAAAGACGCAACTGATTATTAAAGTCTCCTTTTTGTAAATCTACCAGTCTCCATTGTCACTCATGCGACATTAGAAATCACCCGTGAGTATGAAATTCACAGATCCGCTATTACTATTACAGTAATCTTAGCCCGCTATTACGACACAATTTAGGAATATTATCCTTACACTCGGTTAATTTTGACGTCATAGAAAGTTTTGTACTATTATTAGTGTTTGCACCAGTTAGCGTTAGACATCTGTTTGGTTATTCATGTACACGTTTTATTTGATAACAAAGTCGGCACAAAATAAGGAAATAAATAACGAGCATCAAAGAATTTAATTTGTCAGATTTTGATGTGTGACAGTAATGATATTAATATCTTGTGACGTAAACATACATGCCAATAAAAAACCAGCATCTCTGTACGCTAAAGCGCAAGCTTCCTGACTTTCTTCTGTCGCGAACTAACTTTCCAAAAGAAATAGGCTTACCAGACGTCCTTCGAGTTTCAAACTCTGAGGGATGGATGAGATTAAAAAGCAGAGGATTTAAACGTGTTTGTGAGTATTCTCTTTTACGGAATACGGTGAGCAATGGGAAGATTTGCTAAAGAGGATAGTTCGGTTGAGGCTCGGCAGACGAGATGAGAAAAATTGGCTTTGGTAATTTCCCTAAAATACGCCTGCCGTGCGGTATATCGTTGCGGCTATACCGTGCATGTCATGGTATTGAGTGGCGTTGGTATCGAGCGGTGGGGCTTAGGAAAACAAATGACCATTTTAATTACTTGATCTTATTTGATCGTCTGTTGTTAAAGAATGTGAACCTGACATAATAGAATGGATATGGATGCTACTAATTAGCTATTTTCTATTTGTATTGTTAATGCGAGGTATATTATATACACGAGGAAGGAAAAGGCAAGAGCAAACACAGATGGATTGTTCGTTCGATGCTACCCAATTGAAATTTTTTGGCAGTTTCCTTATAAGGTGAATAGCGCGTATATCCGAAAAGGGGAATGGATGATGACATCAATTAATTAATACACAAGTTGATTGTCTCACAAGATGGATGTAATTTATGTAATTCGTACATTGCTGCCTGAAAATTAAAGTAAAAACTGTTTATTTATTGTTTATCTATTTGAATTAATTATCAAAATTCTTTGAATGTCACCAATGATTATCATATTAGCAGTATTTTTGGTTGTCGCAAAAAACCCCCCACGATAACCCGTCCCATACCAAGGGTTCAGCGAATTGCACCTAAATAAAACAAACTTCTAGTACACAAAGCACTTCTTTTTAATACATCAAATAATAGTATGGGAAAATGGGAGAACAATGAACTTATGGAAAGAAAAAGAGAGGAATATCTAAAGCTTGTAACAGATAATTAGATGGGATATGGAAACTGCCAAATTAGACTTTACGTTTCAAGTTGGTGCTCAACCACTCTAGTCCTTCATAAAGACCATCGCCACTTGTAGCACAAGTAGCTTGGATATACCAATGACGCTGTCTGAGAGAGTGAAGACCGAGTTTGTCAGTGATTTCTGCTGCATTCATGGCATTTGGCAAATCCTGTTTGTTGGCAAAGACTAGAAGAAGAGCATCGCGGAGTTCATCTTCGTTGAGCATACGCTGTAACTCTTCACGCGCTTCTGAAATACGTTCACGATCATTGGAATCAACTACAAAGATGATACCCTGAGTATTTTGGAAGTCTGTTTTTTTTGTAGGGATAAAATGATAAAATGTTAGATATAAATAGAGATTCATAATTACAAAAAAAATTTTTATCAAACATAGTCTGGATAGTACAAATAACGAATATGCCTGCTGCTTGGCATCAAATCTATTGGATCCCAGAATCGAACAGTTTGTATGCTAGATATTCATCCACCCCGTCGATACTCGAAACCAGCAAGGCGTTTGGTACTATCGTTTTTGACAATCGGAAAAAACTTACAATGACGCCATAACGGTCGGATTTTATCTTGACCGCCAACATCCCAAACAGTGAAAGAAATGTTCTTGTACTCTACAGTCTCAACATTGAACCCTATATCGATTCACAGTATGTTAGCCATTGATTTCATATAACAGGCAAAGTAGATAGACAACACCATAGATTACGAGTGCTGTTCACATGACAAATCTAGCTTACCGATAGTAGGGATAGTGGTAACAATTTCACCAAGTTTAAGCTTATACAAGATGGTGGTCTTTCCTGCAGCATCCAGACCTACCATCAGGATGCGCATCTCCCTTCTGCCAAATAGACCTTGAAGAAGTTTAGAAATAGAGAGACCCATTTTTACTGTAAGCGGTAGTTTGTGGCTGTATTATTGTTTATATTCGATAATATGGTCTACGGAAACGTGAGTAATCGCAACTCTTGAGCAAACACAACTCTAGTGAACCAGGATGGAGAGAGATGTCGGGGAAAGAGGGCCTAAATATACAGATAACTGCGGGGTGATGCAACTCGTGCCAAATCGAATGATAGAATGCCAAGTGGGTCCAAACATTGTCGAACAACTATTAGTGCGCCACGCAACCAATAGCATGTCGTACAGTTAAATGTCACTTTTACATTGGGTGATCAGGTGGCTAGTGTTAAAATGCTTGCCTGACGTATACAACAAGACTTGTCGTCTTTCTACTCGTTTTGAAGAGTTTTCTGGCTCAACTCACCGCGCAGCTGTACCCTTTTTGTACTCATTCTCTTAAAATTTACACATAATTCTATAAATATGTCGATAATATATTACCAATTTAAAGGGGCAATAGACTTTGATACAATAACCTTTGATGGTCCTGAGATCTCCGTGTTCGACGCTAAGAGGGAGATCCTCCTGGCAAAGAAATTAAAAGGAAACGACTTTGATCTCGTTGTTTCACAGGCAGGAACTGCGGAAGGTATGTCTGCAATGGTACAGATTGCTTGTATTCTGTAATTGTTAAAATGCATACGAAACACAACCATTTCTTTTTTTACACTGATCGATATTAACAAGTATTACAATAAATGTACGGGTTTTTGATCAACGTGCTCATTACTCATTGATTCCCGTATAGACTATACAGATGATAACGTGTTAATAAAAAGAAACACAAGAATTGTCGTACGCCGAGTGCCTACTCGACCTGGGAAAGGTAACGCTCAGAGGTACTTGGAAGGCACAGCGCCCTCACCGCAAAGAAACTTTGGAACTACGGCTCGAGGCCCCGCTGCTTCAATTAATGGGTATGAAAGAGCGTTTGCTTTGTCTCGCATGTCTGGATGTATATGGAAAATTTTTTAAATATCTAATCATTTCTTGTCTTCAGCTCAAAATTAAGGACTGGTGAATCGAGACTCGATCTGATGCAAAAGGCGGCGCATATTCCTCCACCTCTAATGACGTCAGAGACTTCTGGAGATGCAAACGAAGAGGAAAAAATACAAGCAATGTTCCAACAATCGTCAGAGTTCTGGGAGAAAACGCAGGAGCAGATGGCAGCGTAAGCATATCTAGACTTTACAATACACTTTATATTATCTATCTTGTTATTAATTGACAATCGCTTTATTTGTTATGCAGTGCTCCGTTTAGAAGATATAACCAGGGACGGCCTCATGGTAGAGGTGGTCAGCATACACAACAACAGCAGCAACAGCAGATGCGTCCTCTGCCATCAACATATATTTGTCATCGATGCGGGCAGAAAGGTGTGTGTGTGTGTATGCGTGTGTGTATGTGTGTGTGTGTATGTGTGTGTGTGTATGTGTGTGTATGTGTATGTGTGTGTGTATGTGTGTGTGTGTATGTGTGTGTGTGTATGTGTATGTGTATGTGTGTGTGTGTGTGTTTTGTCGTTGTGGTTTTTTTTTTTTAATTGATATAGAATTGCGAGAATCGATATCTAACGGATTTTGTTGATATCACAGGACATTGGATACAGAACTGCCCGACAAATGGAGACAAGTCATTCGATCATATGAAAGTAAGAAGAACGACAGGAATTCCAAAGAGTTTCCTACAAAAAGTCGAACAAGTTCCAGCCGGTAAAGGTGTACTTGTGACACAAGATGGAAATCTCGTAATAGCACAAGCCAATGAGTAAGTTGTTTAACAAATAGCATACTCGTAATGCCTTTTTCTCTGTGATATTCCCATGCTAACATTTACTCGACATTACTTTGATCAGCGCTGCATGGCAAAAGTTTCATGCTAAGCAGAAGGCATACGTAACGTCTAATGAAGTACTTGAAGAGACAGCTCCAATCCCGGAGGAGCTTAAATGTCGTATGTGTTCGGGACTACTCAAAGAGGCTTCAATGACACCTTGTTGCAAGGCTTCTTATTGTGACGAATGTACGTATTATAATCCGTTAGGTGAATGGTACAATAAGAGTATAATAGATTTTGATTTAGTTGTGAGATTGTCACGAGTTCGATTACCTTTGGATTTATCATCGGTCCTTTTGAGATCATTCTCTTTCAAAATACTATTTTCTTTAGCATTTTCGTTGGGTTTATATTCCCCGACATTTATTGCGGTTGAAAATAAATGTGATTACAAAAGTGGTCTTTTTTTTCTTTTCGCATGTAGTTCTCGTTACTTTTATTTTTTGGAGGGATACAGACTAGCTCTTTCTATTCTTTATTTTCCCTTGATTCCTTCATCATGATTTGGTGTGATTGTGTGTGGATATGTGACAGTTCAACTGCAATTTCTCGTCACTGTGGATGATGTTGACTTGCATCCATCAACATTGTTCTCTCGCAAGTGAATATGTGTTATCGATGCCGGATGCTGAAAGCTCTTTATTTACCATTGATTGCAAAAGAGATATTGTATTAGAAATGCTGCTACTCACCTCTCTCTTAAGGCGTTTTTTTTTTCTCTCCAATGTTTCCTCCCATATGCCTATCGCCGTACTAACATGAAAACCTCTGAGCATACCATCGATTCCCGCGTTGGATCTAATTATAAACGATATCGGTAATACGTAACATATCTAAATTACTAATCTAATTCAATTGATTACTACCATAGGTATTCGAAACGCGTTAATAACTCCACAGCAAGAATATCATTTCAAATGTCCGAGTTGTGGGGCTCACTTGGTACCTGATAACTTGTTACCGGACAAAAGATCTCGTTCTGCTGTCGAGGAGCATTTACGGGAATGGGCACGAAGACGTAATGAAATGGCTATTGCCAAGAATGCAATTGACGTAGAAGGATCCGAAAAAGAAAAAGAGATTCTTGATAACATAGACAGAGCGCAAACAGATGAAGACAAGGATGTAACAGAACAGAAAATCGAAGTGGAGGAAAAAGACGTAAGTTTATCTGCGTGACTGCTGGTGACAAGACGAAATGAGCCATGCAATTAAATGAATCGAATGTTTTCTTTTTCAGGTCGCAACGCCGGCTAAATCAGAAATTTCAGAACAGCAAGTGCAATCAGAACAGTCAGATCAAGCATCGCAACCGTCTTCTCAACAATCGCAGATCCAACGACAAACACAAAATAAAGAAAAATCTTCTCAGGCCCAGTCTCACTCGCAACAGGGGGCACAGCAGCAGCAGCAGCAGCAGCAACAGCAACAGCAACAGCCACAGCAGCAGCAACAACAGCAGCAACAGCAGCAACAGCAGCAACAACAACAACAATCAGGTAATAAGCAATTTAGCGGTAATAACATGGGATCGGGATTTAATCAGTTTACATACTATGACGACTATAATGGTTTCGGATTTGACCAAGGACAAGGTTATTGGTATGACGAATGTAAGTATAAAACAAAGATTTGTTGGTCCTTTAATGATTATGTATCGAATCGCTAACACTGATTATGTTCAAATCTTTCTTTCCCGTAACGTTTTCCAGCTGGCTATCCAGTAACCATGAACATGATAAACAATCACTACCATGATCCATCAAATTACTTTGAATCGACAGCAGCTTTCTATCCGCCCGAACCCTTTATTCATCCGCAGTTTGTAGCACCATTCAGGCCACCAGTGTACGATGAGTACTGGGACGGTCCGATGCCTCCTCCAGGTAATAATTTCAATCCGTTTGGAGGAGGGAACATGGCAGGAATGGCAAACGCGGGAATGGCAATGGCAAATGCAGCAGGAAGTGGGATGGGAATGGCAGGGATGCAATTCCGAGGAGCTTTTCGTGGATCGTTTTCTGCTCGCGGTATGGCTGGCCGGGGTCGTGCTAGAGGACGTGGAGGATTTTTCGATAGAGGGTTTGGAGCAGGGCGAGGGGGTAATGCATCTGGAGGAATGGGAGGTAGTGGTGCTGGAATAGAGGGTCGTAGAAGTGCGTCACCTATGGGACGGTGGGATGGGTAGGTTTTTTTTTTTATTTTTAATTTTATTTTATTTGTAATGCTTTGCTTGATTTAATCATCACGCATTTTGCTGAAATGCATAAATAAAGAATTTACGTTTCATTTATAATTTAATATCAATTGATCCTGTATTTTGATAACTATTATAGGTCTTCACCACACGATAATGACTCAAAATACGACAAAGAGCGCATCCAAGACGATTTCCACCGATCACAAAGACGAAATCCGTCCTTCTCTCATGCCTCCAACGACAAAGACTCTGTGCGTGATCGTGCATCTCCTACACCAGTATCCGAGCGTAGTCGTCGTGATAGGGAATCGCGACGTGGAGATAGTTCGGATGAAGAAGATAATGACAATGGTTCCATACGTTCCGGTCATTCTTCCAGACGCTCTTTACAAAATGATACGTCCAACATCACCACCTCTCCGCTATCAACAAGTCATGACATGTCCGCTCCGCAGTCACCAACCAAGTCCCATCGCTCTCGTGAAAGACACCACCGGCGACACCATAGGCATCGTTCTCACCGAGATGAATCGCGGAAAAGTACTCGGGATAGCAAAGAGAGTGGAAGCAGGCACAGGTCTAGATCAGAACACCGCGATGATAAGGATCGTCATGATCGTGAGAGAAGCAGTAGTCACAGACGACGACATCATTCAAGCAGAAAGAGCAGTGGGACAAGTGGAAGTAGTAGTAAAGATAAGGAGGGGAATGATAGACATAGTCACGACAGACATCATCACCATCATCATCATGGACATCATCATAGCAGCAGGGATAAGGACAAAGAGGAGAGAAGGCGAAGAGAAAGTGATGGCCATAGAAGGAAGAGTAGAGAATTAGAGAAGGATAGAGATGTGAGGAAGAGGTATGATGACGAGGACGAGGACGAGGATGGAAAGAAAACACACGAAGACAGAAGTTCCAAGAGAACAAAATATTGAAGTCAAAAGTTATTAGGACTAAATATTCATTAGGAAGGGTGTGATTGATTTATTGCTGTATAATTATTAATGGACAATTGGTCAGTAGTTTTTTCTTTGTGAATGGACTTTTGAGTTTACTTCAGTGTAGTGTGGACATAATAGATATGATTATATGTAGTTGCTCTGTTTTCATCATCAACAAAAAAAAAAGAAAAGAAAAAGTAAAAATAATTAAACGCCTGTGAAACTTGTAACCAATATGCGAAACAGTCGAGCGCGCCAAGTTAGGTTGATTCAGTAAAACCGCAAGAGATCAATATATAAATAGGAAACCAACACTTATTTGTATAAACGCCTCTTGTTTGTAATACATACACCTCACTTTATACCATGTCATTTCAAATTTAGTTTATTCATAATAAAATCAATATAATTTACAGAATAAAATAATGAGCAGGAAAATGAGATGCAATTATCAGCATCCCATGATATGTAGCGAGCAGAAATGTAATAGATGACCAAAAAAGCGGACGGACAACAGATAACGATACATTGATGATGAATCTAAAATTCGCTTCATCTTCTTAGTAGAGTATGAATAATTCATTGTCTAATGCTTTAAAGAAAGATTGTCATTTATATTGAGTTAACTTTAAATCATGTGATGATACAGCTAAATCCTTACTTCATTGTTGTATTAAGGAAGAATTCGACATGCATACTTCCTGTGCCGCTTTTATTTTGCAATTGTAATAAATCGTATCGTGTATAATAATAAGGTCGATTGTTCGAAATCGCAAATGTTATTAATATAGGAGTGATCGAACGCAACGGAGTTATATATGGTGACGTAACGAAATAATATATAACGTCTGCGGTTTCAAGATTTCAGTTGGGGTGTAATAGTAATGCTTGCTTGCCGATTAGCTATACCTTTTGGAAATAAGTATAGATGTCATGTTATCTGGCATAAGACATTTACATGCAATGGTATTTGACACGTGATTTTCGTAATATAAACAACCGACTTTAAAGCGAGGCTTGTAGGAGAGGTGCTATAAAATAGCCTGCAACATTTTAATAATTTCAGTAGTTGAAGAATTTTATAGCTGATGAGACTGAATTATTTGATGTATATAACATTAGCATTGATAGCAGAAGATTATGAAACGTGTTGAATGGGCACAATAACGGCCATTGGAAAAAGACATTTAGTGACGAAACATCGTAACCACAAATAGTAGACATCGAAAAATTATCGGAATTGTTAGGCAACTTTTTGGGTACATGGGCCTCAAACATGATTTTCCTCATAACATACGGACAGCACCTTATATTCAAATTATGAGTCAATAACGGATATCGAACATGGTTTTTTTATCGTCAAAACGACAATTCGGATAATTTTTAATCTTCCAGCAATTTACATCAATCAATATCACACAGATAATAATGCACCATTCCTTGAATGTATGTATGGTTTCGAGAATACAGTATATCTACAACAAATCCAACTCACTTTATAATACTGACGATGGGGGGAAAAAAGGACAAAGGCGATAAAGGTAAAAAAAAAAGATAATGAATATTATTTAAAATGTTCGTATTGGTACTGTTGCGTCGCTATATAACCCGGGATTTATATACACTACCTGGTCAAAAACTCTTGCACAACAAACAATTTTAATTGCACATTTTTAAATTTAATATAAAGCAGTTTATTTTTAAAAATTTACATCTCCACATATACCTAAGATATTGTAACAGACCATTTTTTAAAAAAACGCATCAACAGCGGGGCTTTAAAGTTGATAGAAGAAAAATTATTTATTATGTCGAATAATCTAACAAAGAAGTTTTCGAGAGCATAATTTATTAATTTATTACCCAAAATATGTGTTTTAGTAAAAAGCTTTAAATGTAAGACAAAAACTTGATAGCTTACTACATTTAATGCTAGTTTATTTCGTCTAAATTTCGGAATATTTGTAACATTACTTGCCGATTTATCAATTATCGTATATTTTGGTGGGTTAGTGTAAGTTCTAAATAGATTCATCACACGATAAATTGTATGTTTAATTGGAGAGGCATATCGAATAGTATGTCGCCCAATTACCATATCAAAGTTGTTTCGACTCGAGAAAATGCAAACCAAGCAAACAAATTTCGAACACAACACTGAAAATCATTGCACGTGCTATAATACTAGTTAATGTCTGGGAAAAAATGGAAACTAGTAATGTGAATAAAGCAAGTACTCATCACGCCCTTCCGAAGATCGTGGTTGAGAAACTAACAGTCTAAAGTCGAGCTAACGGATGCTTTGATTGGATATTGTTTAAGCATAAGTTAGAGACATACTTGTCCATGCGTTCGCCATCGTTAAGAAAAAAAGATAAGGCCTTATTTGCTTAAAAAAAACCTCTTGAATTCCAAAGAAATTTCAAACATTGAATTTATCGTCAATAGAATTGATGTACCTGAAGAGAAAATTCTCTTTCATATTGAAGAGTACGGCTTTCTCTAGACAGTATTGGTTTGATTCCTCAAGCGTGTACGATTCAACAATCGTATACGAATATGTGTTATCGAATTACTAGGTTCGAAATAGCCAATTCCACGTTCTCCCGCGACAGTTGGCTCGAGCATTTTGAGCAGGCAAGAAAGTACATTAATATTAATATAATAAAATATTCTCTCTCAAATCTCAATTGACTCACTGCGTGAGTTGGGTTATTGGTATAAGAGCCATCACAATCACGTCAACTATATTAGGTTAGTTCACCGAAATGAATTGCTTTACAACACTATGCACGAACAGAAAAAGTATGGGCGAAGACTACATCCGCGAATAAATTAGTATTGGAAAGCTTAGATTCACTTTATTTCCTGCGACAAAGAATATGTACAACACTCATAACTATCTAAACTATACGCCTTTACTCCACCTTTCTCTTTTCATCCCCATCTCGACTGCACATTGTCCCCAATCATTCCCATGATTATGTGAATTTTCACCTATTCCCGCTCTCTGCAAGGCTTGGGTTTCTGAAAGGCACGTCAAAACTCCGAATACAACAGGAGTACTAGTATCCAGACCAACTCTCATTAGACCATGACTGACAGCTTCTGCGATATACTCGAAATGCATAGTGTCGCCCTTGATCAAGACGCCGATAGCTATGGCAACATCAAACTTATTGTACACCCGATTGCATAAGATCGTTTGGATTGCAAAAGGTAATTCGTAAGAACCGGCGACGTCTTCAATATGTATGTTGCTACGTTCGACTTTGTAGGAGGTTAGGCTGTTAATGGCCCCCTCGACAAGAGAATCCACAATTTCGCTGTTCCAGCGCGTTTTTACGATCAAGACCCTGAGCTTTGAACCGTCATATTGCTCTGTAGGAGCTTTCACGCCTTTTGTGAAGGACTCCATGCTTTTAGCAGTATGTGAAATTTAGGCAGTATTGTTTTCAAGATGGATCGTCATACATTTCAACATCATGTGACAATTACAAAGTACAAAGTCCCATAATTATTGTCGATTATATAAATAAAACTTGCCAACAAAGTCTGACATGTTTCTTTAAAAGGGCGCGTGGCAGGACATATTGTCCATATATAATGCCACACGGGTTTTTTTGGCCTGTGCAGAATCGTCATCAAGAGATTTTGCGCGCATAATTTTTAGGAATTCAAATGGACGGTTAGCCTTGGCTCCGTTTTGAGCTGGCGCTGTCCCCCTTTTGTTAATGGAGGTTCTTGGGGGTGTGTAATAAATCAATAAAAGCGTTTACTTGCAACTCAACGATATGTATTCGTTCAACATGATGCTTTTGGTTTATTTGGGATATTACCATTTGTATTCAACCGGAATGCTCGAAATAGAACTTTTAGCTAGTCACCCTCAGATATTCTATTGATTTGTCTCCAAGTTTACAATCATTGACAATATTCACATGGACGAATTATACACGTATATACAGATATATACTTTCAAGGTCATAAGACAAATTGTTTTTTGTTTGTTTTTGGTATTCGAATCAGGTCGAAACAGACTCGGTCAGTGTTTTGGGTTTACATTCATTCTCACCAATCGGGCGAATATAAACAGAATCCGGCGGATGGTCTTTCTCCCCTTCTTCGAACGTATAACTGCTTGCTATTGCCAAATACTTTCCTTCAAAGTTGAAGCTTAGACTGGCGACACTAGTAGGAAACGGAGGGTACTGGCGAAGACGTTTCTTGTTGAAACCATCCCAGATGTTGACGATCCCATCTGCACCGCCTGATGCAAACGTACCGTGACTATGAACGAAAAGAGGGATGAGTTTAGTGAAGAGTATATGAACAGTAATTAATAATTAATAAAAAAAACCCAAGACAAACTCCCTCAGTAAAATGCTTTGATACATACATTGGATGAAATGCTAGCGCATTTGCCGGATATACAGTATCAACGCCATCTATTATCTTACGATGACACTTGAATGCATACTTCTTCGCTTGCACATCTGGTGCAGGATCAAAAAATTCGACGGCCACACGCCCCTCGATTGAACTACAGGCATAACCTATACAACGCCAATACACGTTAGTTATCAAACGTCATACGTAATCTACACCATGTCCAAACAAAAGCGTGCTGGAAATCGACAATTCTTTTTTTGATGGTAAACCTTGTCCGTTGGGCATGCACTTTACGCATCGGGTCATAAACTTCAGGCTACTCTCCCGTCGTTGTATTGGCTCGGCCATGTATCGTATATCATATATAAACACGTGTCTGCCGGCCATTGCTACTACTAATTTGTATTGAACTACGTCTAACGCGAAAACTTTATTCGGTTGTGCATGAACACCAATTGAGGCATCTTTTTCACGGATGTCCCATAGACGAACAGTCTTGTCCCATGATCCGGTGACAATTACACCTGAATAAAGCAATAGAGGAAAAAAAAGGGGGGAGGAAGGAAGGAAGGAAAAAAGAAAGGAAGTTAGTGTAATTTATTTAGAATTGGAATAACTAAATAAATTTGGAATGAGAATGTCGACTTACTGTTGTCTTTACAGTATTCTACACATTTGATGGCATCATCGTGTGTTCCAATAATAGACTCGTTCGCCGTGTTAAAATCGAATCTATCGACAGTGAAGTGATCGTCAAGGATTAGCAATATGGTTTTACAAAGTCAGGTGTAATGCCTTCAGACCGCGTTATTTTTACTCACTTGGTCAGACTCTTGTCTAATCCACCACTGAATGCATGTGCTCCATCTGAGAAGCAACAGTCGAGTACGGCCGCACTGTGCGTGTACGTTTGTCGTAGTTGGTTGTTGTGTATGTCATAGAGTCTTACACTCTAATAACCAAGTTCTATGCAGTGAGAACAATTGAGCAATCTCTCCTTCCCCACTCTATTCCCAATACACGCAAACCCGTCCTAATACCTTGTCCCAGGAGGCCACCAGTAACAGGTGTGGATTAGTAGGGCTAAATACTACAGACGATATTGCGTCAGATGGCGGATCATACAACTCGTATTGCATAATTTGTTCTCGTTCCAGTTCCCAAACGTTTATTTGTTTTCTTGTTATTATTATTATTGTTATCGTGACAATTTACCATTTGAACTTGCCACGTGACGAAAATGGATCGGGTCACTAACACTAATACTAACGAATACTAATTAATATTTTGTACACGTCGCTGGTGCTCGGAATCGGGCCCTCGTATTGACATTAGTACTAATTAATATTTGTAACTCAGGATCACGCGCGACTACAACTGTACCCGGGTCTACTAACACTAATTAATATTCATCACCGTGCGACATTTCAAAAATTGGGGCCGTATACTAGACAGCTGAAAGATTCGGTTACTGAAACTAAAGTTTGTACTAAAACCTTTTTTCAAAGAATGGACGACAAATGAATCTACCATAGTTTCGAAGAAACAGTCCCTAACCCTAATAGAACTTTCTATACATAAAGATTACGTCATAATGGAATTACAATCGGAGTGATTCTTGACCTTTTTTGCGGCATTGTTAAGCTCTACAATAGGGGTTAAAAGCTTGATTGTAATCACTCATTATTGTCTTTAAATAGTAATCTCTCATAATGCAGGCTTGTAAAATGTCTAATAAATACACTAATTCGCTGCTTTAACAATATCTTTGGTAAAATTATATACTATAAAATATGGGGTTCTTTTCTTAACCCCTGAAAAATCTATGTGGCGTAATATAATATTCCCACCGTATTGCACACGTTTTGATAACTTGCTTTCGAGCAAAACACCAACTTTTATTCACCTATCATACCAATGACCACAGCTTCAACTCGTCGAATACAAAGTAGACGAGATAATTCACGACAAGCTGCTTTTTCCTTCCTCTCAAACATTAGCCTTGGTACTGAGAACGCTTTCTCTCAACACAATCGTCGGGTAACAGGTGTTCCTGACACTTTTGGATCCAACAATCTAATAGCTGTTGACAGTTATGGAACACGACTTCAACCGAATATTCGGCATTTTACTGATACAAGCAAAAGCAAACTTAATGGCCTACGTATCGACACAAAACGAAGTAGAGACCCTGACAATACGTCACCCGTCGTCGACTCTTCATATGGTCAAGTCTTTCCTGGCGAAAACGTACTCTCTAACGGAGACACTTCCGTCATAGAACAAGACGACGAGGACGAACCTCCTTTGTGGAATAAACGTACTAGAAGCGACAGCGTACGCGCACAGGCGGCAACCAGTTTCTTGAGTAATATCAGTCTTGATGGAAAGGAAAGTAGGCCGCACCGCGTATCAAGAGTGAACGAAAGTGCATCAGTCAAAGACAAGACAAAAGGCTTGGAGATTGATGCAATTATTGAAGAAGAGATCGTAGAAAGCTTGTATGGCCCTGTTATAAATAGTCGAGCCAGAACGAACTCAGGTGTGTTTGAAGCTGGATTATATGATTATGGATACGTTTGTGCAATGTCGTGATGCGCAGGTCTTTGTATAATGTGATAAAGAGTACTGAATGATTTTTCCTTCCTTATTCATTTTTCACTGTCACTCCTCTTTTATTATTGACTATATGAATCATCAGTCTCTTCCGATGACACGAGTTCGTCCTCTTCATTATCACCTTCCCAATCACCTCCTGGAAGCTGGCAACAAGAGGGAATACGTCGAATGAGTCTATTTCGTCACGGATCGTACAACGCCAACAACAGTTACGTTAATCCCACCTCTTTTAGCGCTAATTTTAACAATTCAGCCAGAATTAATGCATCGCAGCAAAACATGATTCTTCCGACAATATCGGTAAGCTTGAGGTTCAGATAGAAATTGTATACTATGACAAGCGTGCATTAGTTTATTCACCGAGAACTCTCAGATATCTCCTACAAACACGGGTGTATTTTCTATGTTGAAGGGAAGTGATGATAAGACGAGTCGTCGGGATTTGTAAGTAAAAAAACTATACGGTTCAAACGGCAACTTTCTTGCGCGCAAGCCGATTTTTATTTATATTTTTTTTATACCGCGACTAAAATCGTCTGTTAATTAAGGAGGAGGAAGCATAGTATTTCCGAGAATTCAAATCGAAGACAGGTAAGTATTTTTTTGTATTAGTATGTTTATAATAACCAATCACGTCTGATGTTTTATCAATCCACGCGTTGTAGGCTCAGTCTTATGCGAATTTGTTATCACCGACTAACGCATTAGGGTAAGTACATTAACAAAAAAGTGTGCAGTTATTTATTCAAACATTAACACGCTAATATTAACACGCTAATATTAACTAAATCTTGTAATAGTTCAGAGAATGAGAAAACTGGTTACGATCCATATGATCTCGACGATCCCAATATAAGTCTTGGGAAACGTCGGCCAGCAAAAGCGTTCTCATCCTTTATGGTAAATATCTTTCCGGCAATACAATTATGTCTTTTTAAAAAGAATTTGGGACGAACAATCTTGGGCTCCGAGTATATAATAAAGTGTAAACTTGATAGTGGGAACGGAAATATCCTACTATGTATATTATACTATTTTGGCGTGTTGATATACCGAGTTTTGACTGTCATATTCCCAACGTTATTAATATTCATATGCTTGTTTAGGGCTCAATAATGTCTTATAGTCGTGAATCCGACGAAAAGCGAGAAGCGAACGAAATATTCCGTCAAAAACATCCACAAATTGATACTAGTATCACATTGAGTAAAATAAGAACTATAAAAGAAAAGTTATTGGCAGCGGCTAGGAATGAGGTTAGCAAAAAGATGAGAACGTAATTTAACGTAAGATAAATATCATACATTACAATATCATTATGATGCTTACAATTTGTCATGTTCTAATATTAGAGTCTTAATCTGGACTTGGAACTATCGACTGTCGCAATGGCTTATTCTTACTTTGAGAAACTTATTTACAAGGTAAGAGCAAACAATAATATTAGCTTGGTTGAACCTATGAATCTAACACTTGAGTTTTAATCATTTAGAAAGTTGTGGACAAATCGAATAGGAAAGTCATGGCTGGTGAGTGAAACATAATCTTGAAGTTGACGTGCTTATTAGTGGGCTCTATTGATAAGGCTCGTTGGTTTTTTGGTATCAATTTAGCCATATGTTTGTTTTTGGCCGTAAAAGTCAATGAACCTCGAGCAACCGGGCTCGGTTCATTACTAGATGTAAGTATGATTTCCACTTGAATTGATTGCCCAGTCGTTTTTATAATACGTCACTCATGTCTGATTGACTTTAATGCTATTCAAATCATAGTCTTTGCACAAACACTTGGATGTTAATGAAAAAGAAATAAAAGATCAAGAATTTTCCGTATTCGCAGCGTTAGATTTTGCATTGATTTTACCAAAAGAAGAAATAATGCCACATTTTGAAAGGATATTTGGAACTTTGGGTTAGTAGTCGTAACTTGTTAATTTGCACCTTCGTAAGAGAAACAAAACATATATATGACTATTTGTTCTCTGCAGAATACAAAAGCACCGAAGAGTATCTTGGTCCAAACCCATTTTACACTTCTTCCGGAATAAGCTGACACTATCGGACGTTATATGAGAATGAATCGACATTTATACTTTTTCTTACCTGTATTCAACAAAGATACGCATTAACGTCGAAATAATATGACGTTAACTATTGATGGAATTAATCTTGAAGGACGTTGGACATTTGCAACAGAAATAAACGAACAATTTCAATTGCGTTACTACATTTGTGTGTGTCTGTCTGGTTAAAATAACGTAGATATTCACAACGTTGGGTCCAAAAGCCTTGAACTATGCAGCGAATTCACTTGTATGCAAACGAAATACTACGTAAAATGTCGTTTTGTAATAAATAGCTAAAAACAGTCCCAAAGAAAGAATGCGAAAGCAATAAATAATTCCGACACAATATCCATTACTGTATACTCTCTCAAAATGTTGCTTTCTACCGTGAGGATTACTACACTGACTGCGGAATTAAAGGACCCGGATTAATCGAACAATTTTCCGCTTCCAATACTTATAGGACCCGCAGAAACCTTGATTGAGCGAATACTAATCCCGTTCATTCAAAACATTAGCTAATGTGCTGATTTACCACCGATAATCAGGCCGTAAAAAGACAATCAGCAAGACTGCTCTTAATCTTTTAGAGAGAACTTCCATGTCATTTTGCATCAGTAAACGTAATTGTTGGGGAGTCCAAGTCAAAGGGCTTTTGTCTTGACTCATTTAGCTATATTTTAGATGGGGATGTTATGTTGTACTTGAGAAGAAACAATCTTTTTAGCCGTCAATGTCGCTGCTTGCCATAAACTACTGGTTGGTTATTGAACTGTGCATTTATAGATATCTTAATGGGTAAGTATCAGAAATAGAACATGCACTCACCCCAAAGTCCAACGTGGGACTGGGCAATGCATTGGCGATATAAATATTACTTGCGGACAATAATATCTTTGTGTCACTTTTATAGTATGTCTGAGGTGAGCTAATAATAGTCTTTTTTGAAGGGATTTATCCTTAATCGTTTGTTTAGTTAGACGAAATGTACCATGTGATGGCAAAGATCAAGATATCGAGTTTATGGCATCAAACTCCGACAATGATTTATTGTGTAAAAAAAAAAACGTCTGACTATGACAAGAAATTTTCCCAATCACAATTGTAATGCATTAAAAATTGAATTGTTTGTTTTCATAACAATCGTAAGTGATTCGATTATCTAAAGCTGTAAGAACGTTCCATGATTTCATTAAAATGATGTTCAAAAGAGCCATTGATCAATCTAAATGGATTAAATTCAAGTGTCGTTTGAAAAATTTGCCTTTTCAGACAGTTGCAGATCACATCTAAAGTGGCAAAAAATGAATGCCCGCAGCCCATTAAGCCTACACGCATACAAAGCGTGAAAGCATTCTATGAGCATGTGTAATGTGCAGACAAGACGTAATAGACTTGTGCATTTTTGTAAACCATTCTCTTTTTTTTTTTTTGCGAGAAAGAACAATATGATGTCATTGAATTAATAAATGCAAGTTATTAATAAAAGTTATATGTAAATTCGCCAAATGAAATCTTACACAGTGTAATAAACTTACAAAAGTGACAATAATAGTAACTAAGAAAATGGAAAAATTTTTCAGATGGCAACGAATTAAAAATAAGTGTTTATGGTCCAAAATACAAAGACGCCCGTAGGAGTGAGTGCCAGAAAAGGCTTATTATAAAAATTACAACATACAATAAAATCAGCATTAATATCAGTCGAATATACAGTTATTATAATAAAGCTAATGTGAAATATTGCTTCAGCAACAATATTGTTGTTAAATTTGCTTAATTAAATATTATTATACACTGTTTAAGTTTGACTTTTTTCTATTCAATAGTAATAATGTGTCTGAGTTTGGGACCTACCTCAGTTTTGGACTGAGACAACTGAGTTCTGAACTGAACAGATTCCCAACTGAAGTATAATAATAATACATATTAATATTAATATAAATTTCCAATTTAAGAATTGTTCAATGTGTGTTCCTATTATCAGTATCTCATCAGATTTGGCAACATTAAATTACTAAATTTGTTAATTAATATGGTTGAAAATATAACAATTTTCTTTTATTTGAGATGATGTGTTGGCTAAAGACAATTCAATCTATATAAATATCATTTTTGACTAGCTAATAAAAGCCCATTACTATTGTATATTGTAGTACTGTATACTATGGTAAATCCTAATCCCCCAATATGTAGGTAAAAAATTCACTATTAAATATGGTAGATGAGGTACTGATGAGAACACCTTATTATATTTATGCCTGCTATTAGCTATATCAACATATTTTTTAACAGTAAAGGCACAGCAAATAATAAGAGTTACCCATTTGCCTAATTATAATAAGACCACAAAGTCTAAGTCAACATTTTTCTTTACTTGGATAGAAAAAAGTCGGACTGTGTATCTTTAAATAAGTCATCTATCATTAGCATGCAAACATGCACTTATAATATCAAGTAAATCTATGGTTTGTTCTCTAGCAGATCTAATACTAATACTAATACTAATACTAATTCTAATACTAATACTAATACTAACGGAACTAGTGTAAATCGCCGTACGTTGCACAACAAAAGTTTATTTTGCTGATCATCCAAATCAATTGCCCTTATCTGCCTGACGGTTATTAATATATTTGTTAAGACTAAGTTATTTATACAATACCGAACCCGAATACAAATACAAATACAATACAAATACAAATATATACATCGTTATTGATTGAGCGTTTGTCTGTTATTGTGTAACGAGGAGCGGTTAATTGACGCATGGCACTTCTACTATTGATAATATCTTTGAGGTACCTACGCGTGATAACATCATTTTTACACGCAACCTCTTATGTTTGACGCCATATATATATTTTGTAATAATAAATTCTTACACTTTGCATAAAGTAACACATAAAACAATCTTAAGCATATTCAATTTAAACATATAGTATTTATATTATCCGGTAATCTTTGTAGTTTCTTATGACATACCAAATCGCTATCTTCGTTCAAACGATTGACAAATTTTTGGACATATGTTCTGAACATATCGGTAAATTCATCTTTTTCATAGCATGTAGAAATTGCGTTTCTCCATCCTTGTTGTAACTCTGACTTTTCTTTCTTGACGTCCTTGTTTGTCCGCTTCTTGGAGTTTACTTGCGTAAATGGAGTGACTTCTTTCAAATCGGGAGTTCGAATCGTCCTCGGCGGTCGAAAATCGACTTTGAAATTAAAAAGTTTGGCCAGATATCCTTCAAATAGGCAACTGATTATGAATTCGCTCTTGCATGTTTTGAACAATTGCAAACAATGTGGTTCAAACGGAACTTTGGCTTTGTAGTACTCGCTGAAAATGGTGTCCGATTCGGCCACGTGTTGAGACGAGTTGGAGAGCTGAGAGGTCCCTACTTTTACGAGAATAATTTCTTTCATCAAATATCTAACAACTCGAGACTGTTTACCAAATTTAACCAACATATATCTATATACTATAGGCGTATACCGAAGGCGCGTGCGTAAAATAGGTTTAGTCATATCTAGATTATTATCAACAATTGCGTAATTTTCAAAAGCGGATATAGTTTCCTGTTCGGCGTTATCAATTCGATCGAGCACATAATCAATTACATCATGGCGCTTGAGACTTTTGTCTTCTGGGTTCAACAATTCCCTTAAGCATATGGACAATATTGTGCTCCTACTCAGGCCGCGAACCATGGCAAATGCATCTATCAGCACTTCTCCTATATCTGTCAACCTATGTTCGAATAGAACCAGGGCGTCTCCGATCAATCCATCCGCTAGTTCAAATCCAATAGTTCGCAGGTCATTTAGTTGTTTTACGACTTGATCTAAACCTGGTTTAACCCAACCGGCCGTTGGGGAAGGAGGGTAAAGAATTAGCAGCGAGCCCTGGATGACAAGATCATTCACATCGCGAACGATTTCATGATATCCGATTTTTTTCCAGACATCAACTAATTTGGGATGGATGAGTATAGCCCGGGCAATGACATTCAATTGGCGAACGTTTTCATAGCCATCAGTAGGTGGGTAGTCATCGTAGTTAGCAGTACGTGATTCTGTATTTTCAGCAATATGCTTTCGGATTTTTGGCCTAGGAGGAAACGGCGCAAATTTGAACATTGTGATCAGCCGTTCAATTTCGTTTATGTTATCCTCCAGCTTTTTTCTTGCTTCGCTAATAACCAATGGACCAGCTGATAGGTAATAAAATGACTCCATGTCATTTCCGCGCACCGGAATGTCGTTGCCGTCAAATCGATCATGTCCCTCTTTGAGTATTCTGGAAAAAACGTTAAACGGAAGATTACTCGCCCAGGGACTGCGGATTTTACTCTGAATAATTTTTTTACGATCTGCATCGAGCGGTCTTATGTTGTGTGACAGTTTGAGATCAATAAGCTTACTGTCATACTTGCCAAATCCAAGCATCACCCGTTGGATAAAGTAACGGCTGAGATGAGCGTTTTGAGCAAATAGACACTCGACTACATCGACATTAATAAACGGCACACCCATTCTTACGGCATGAAATAAGGCATGGGTTGTTCCATATTTGCTGATTAGCCACTTGGACTTTGTAGTAGGTGAATTTACTGTAGCGTACCATGCGCGCGAGCACTGAGCAAGTGGTAAAGGATTGTTCAAGTGGATAACAATTTCTGTTTGAAGTTCAATTGGTAGCTTATTCAAATAACAAGTGTAGATTTCAGTGTATTTATAGTTTGTTTTAGTTTCCATTGTAACAGTGAGGATGCCGTCGAGACGTTGTAAAGGAGGTGCTCGGTCTGAAGATTTTTATGTTAATTTCACCGGACTTTTTCGAGTTTAATTTTTTATATGTTTTAAACTAGAAATTAAATACGTGTGAAGTTGATTTTTGTCTCCATGGGGATATTTGAATGGGGGGGTTATATTGAATGAAAAAGGCTAAATTTAGTTTCACAATGAACTTGCTTTATTAGAT